GTCTAAGTTTTTGTTGGGGAAAAACAACACAAACAAACCAAATTCCCAGAACATTTTCCATCATTCAGTCTATCTAAAACTCTTTCTCGGCTCATTTTAGCATCTACATGTTGTTCTCTCTGCGCTCCTGTCCCAGATATCTGGAATAAAACGGGGCCTGTGAAGATGATCCGCTGGTCTCCGGACTGCAGTGTTGCCATGGTGACGTGGGACTGTGGCGGTCTGTCTCTGTGGAGTGTGTTTGGAGCTCATCTCATCTGCACACTCGGGGAGGACTTTGCGTGAGTCGCACAAACACACTCACGCCAATGATTTACTGAGTCAGCAATACGTTTGTCAAACCCATCATCCAGAAAGTTCACTCTGATAGTGACGGCACTAATGATGAGTGTTGACATTGATGCTTGATTTCTGTATTTTCTTGATGTTTTTCTGATGCAGCTATCGCTCAGACGGCACTAAGAAAGAGCCTCTGAAGATCAGCTCTATGGTGAGTGCGCAAACATGGTCTTATTAATGAGCACTACTTCTTTCTTGAACAGTTTTGATTCTGTGTGTTTATTGTACTGCATCAGTGTTATCTTAGTATCACTGATGTACTACTATAGTTTTTTTTAATATTTTAAATGGATTTTATATTTATATTTTCAGTTTTCATTTTAATTTAAGTTTTAGTCAATATGTCATTTTAAATATGTCTATTTTTATTAAGTTTTAGTTTATTTAGCTAAAGTTTTTTTTAATATTGCAATGTTGTTTTTCTTTTTTTTTTTTTGTTAGATTTTCAATGTTGCCTTGTGAACTAGTTAAAATTTAAAATATAAAAAAACTTAAACTTAGTTTATTTCAGTAAATTTTTGTTTTGTTTCAAGTAATGAAATTAGTTTTTTTTTCTATGATTTTTGTTTTAGTTAAGTGGTTTAGATAGTGGTTGACTGATATGTTGCCAAGGCCGATATATCGGCTGATATTTGCCTTTTTTTTTTATTTTTTATTATCTGCTTGAGCCAATAAGTTTTCCTGTTAGGCTGACATCTCAGAAGCGGGACTTTTATTTTGACAGTGCACTGAACTTTTATTTTACTTGTTTATTTTGCACTTTTTTTAACAAATAAATGTTTTCCTTATTTATTCATTTTCAAATTATTATATGAATATATATAAATATTATGTAAAATAAATACAATTTTATTGCAAGCACTTATGTATGTTTTTTTTACTATATTAAAAGTATGATATTATACTGTATATCGCCATTGGCTACCCTGCTCTCTAAGATATCGACATTGGTTATCAAAAAAATCCATATCAGTCGAATACTAATCGAAATACATGGTGTCAGCAATGCAAAGATCGTGGGTTCGATTCCCAGGGAATGCAATGTAGTCACTTTGGATAAATGTGTGTGCATGTGAATGTGTTTTAGAGCTGGGGTGTGGAGGGATACCATCTGTGGGTGATCGGCAGCACGGACCCGACTCCTGTTCCTGATGGAGCGGAAGGAGATGAGAAACTCCAGCAGGCCGGGATTCTGCAGTTTCAGTTCATCAAGAGCGCGCTGACCGTCAACCCGTGCACGGTGAGAGAAACACGCGCATGAACACTCACACGCTTCACATCCTTAAGAGGGACATTTTGATGCAAAAAAATGAATCCAGTATGTGTTTTTGCTGTTTATGCACATGCAACATGATCAGATGTGTGTCAGAGATCAAGAAGAATCAGAATTGTCTGACAGTGACAGTAAGCGAGGTTTTACATGCATGTGTGATCAGAGTAATCAGGAGCAGGTGTTGCTCCACGGGGAGGATCGTCTGTATCTGACCTGTGGAGACCCGACTCAGGCTCACAGTGTGCCGGATAAGAGCCCGTCGCGGGACAGTGGTGGCAGTCCACTGCACCGGCCGTCAGCGTCCACCCCTCTCTCTCAGGGTCTCAGCACTTTACTGGGCCACAAGCACTGGCAGGTGGTTCAGGTACATGATCACACGCTCCCAGCTCAAACAGATTCACTGAATAAAATACAGAGTGGGTCTACTTCATTTTGGAGTCTGACATGCGATTTTCCTCTCTCTGCAGATTCACAGCACATATCTAGAGACAAACTGGCCCATCAGGGTAAGAACCGTCTTTTAACTCTTAAAGGAATAGTTCAGCCAAAAATGAAAATGTGGTGGAAATGTACTCACCTTCTGGCAATCCAAGATGTAGATGAGTTTTTCTTCATCAGATTTGTAGAAATGTAGCATTGCATCAGTGTCTCAGCAATGGATGCTCTGCAGTGAATGGGTGCCGTCAGAATGAGAGTCCAAACAGCTGATAAAAACATCACAATAATCCACAAGTAATCCACAGCACTCCAGTCCATCAGTTAACATCTGGAGAAGACAAAAGCTGAAACACATCCAGCATTAAGACGTTTTTAACTAAAATAGTTGTCTCTCTCCAGCCACATATTTGTTTAGAGCTGTTTAAACGCTGCTTGATCTGTGCAGATTTCTCTCATTTCTCTCCTCAGAACACATTTTCACTGGAGGAAGCATTATTATGGATTATGGACTCGATGTATTTGAGTTAAAAACGTCTTAATGCTGGATTAGTTTCAGCTTTTGTCTTCTCCAGATGTTAACTGATGGACTGGAGTGCTGTGGATTACTTGTGGATTATTGTGATGTTTTTATCAGCTGTTTGGACTCTCATTCTGACGGCACCCATTCACTGCAGAGCATCCATTGCTGAGACACTGATGCAATGCTGCATTTCT